GGAAGGGGTCTTTGATTTAGAAGTCATTCCATCCACACAAAGTTACAACTATGCAGGAAGTTTATTGACATGAATATGACATGATTATGACCTTTTTTATTTGGAAATACCACAATGCTTGTTTCAAAAAAGCAAGTTTAGTATTTGCTCTGTTCTATTAATTTTCCTTGTGATCTGGCATTCCATAAAATCAAGGATGCAAGTTGCACATTGTTGAATTGTAAATATGAATAAAGGCTGATTGCTTTGTGTCTTTTAAGCAACAAATCTGTATTTGTAAAATGACTTTTCCAAACGTGAAACTATGAAGACAAACAACATTTGAAAACGATATCACTTCCTCTAATATTGCACAACGCCTAATACTCCTTTTGGTTGTCTTTTTCATGCTTGTTAAAAACAAATCATATCATGGAATGTATGGATTCCAGAATGGGACTTTTTAAATATTTACATCTTATTTTAAGTCAGTTATTGACTTAACACTCAACATTGTTCCAATTAAAAAACATAGTTAGAAAGAGCCCTAACAAAAACATATTCGTGATTTAATGCACCAAACACTTTAATTATTATTCGGATCGCATTCTATTGCTCCATTAGTTGTGGTTGCATTTCTTTCCTTGTATTCATCTGTGTTTTGTGCTGTGGAAGGAGACAAAAAAGGCCTTAGTGAACATGACAATGGTGCTTAAGTGATTCTTTTTGTCGAATATTCGGGGCTTTGATTTAAACATCAGTAATCAGTAACAACAATGAAATTATATGGGAAGGATATTTTAATGCTGGACAAAATTAGTGTAAGAACATTTTTTATTTCATGTTGGAAAAAGGGCAGACCACTATGAGGGAATCTTTTTCCCATGAGAAATGTTTTTCAATTGACCATTATGTCAGTGATGTGTATTTGTTGTATGGATGATATAAAGTTTGCAAACGGGATGTACTGAGCAGCAAAAAGTTAATGACTCTCAGTTATGGATATCATAGGGGATATTTACATTACGTTTAAAGGAAACAGAGTGGAGGAAAGAAATTTATATTCTTTGGCAGGTTGCTGTGTGCGTGATGAAGAAAAATATACCTTTTTGTGTCATTCTGATGATAAGCATTTGAATATGCCTCCATGTCGATCCCCAGCTTTGCTAATCGTTGAATGAATGTTCTTTGGTCATCAACAGATTCTGGTATAGAATGTTTGTGGAAGAAGTGTGCCTTTGAAAAGCAAGGACTATTAGAGAATTTTTTTGTGTTGAGGCATGCATCTTCATGAAGGATATATTCATTACTAGTAGAAAATATGTTAGTGTCAACAAATTGTTATTATAATACTTTTTTATAACTTGAAAGTGTTGCTGTCATCTCATAAACTCTTGAGGTAGTTTTAGTTTTGACAAGGAGCTATGGGTCTGTTATTTATGATTCTGCTTGTGATGTGTGACACAAGTTATAAAGGGTTTTTTGATTACCTTACTTTTGTTTGACTGAATTTCAATGGTTTTCACATCTCCCAGTTGCAGTTTAGGTACGGTTAGAGCCAACTGCAAATGAAATTTAAAGTAAATTGATGGTTAATTTTCATCATGAATATTATTATTGTTCTTTGAAAGTGTAATTGTTTTTTGTGGAGAGGCTATCTATAACTGTAAATCCTTTTTTTTCAGTGAGTTTTTCTTGTAGGCCTATATTTGTGCAATAACCATTGGCATATCGTTACTACTTTTTATTGGATTGGTAAACAAGAGATTCATTTTATAAGTCTGTTGGAGAAAAAATTGCTGAGCATTAAAGATGGAGAATCTTCGGTTAAACTTGTCAGGCTAATCTTGATACATAAAGATCAGTTAAATATTCTACAATATTTGTGTAAGGGTTTGCTAAATCAGTATATTTTTCTATATTAAATAGTTTGCTTGCCTATGCCATCAGAGTTTTTCCCTTTATGCCACTCCAGTCTTGTATCGGAAAGACCCTCTTTGGTTGAGTATTGTCATACTTATGACTTTGCCAGGGGAGAGAAATACTGTTTTGTGGAATTGTTTAAATTCCGAAAGGTCTTCACTCATGCCTGGCTGATCTTCAAGCTCCTGATCTTCATCAGTAACAACAAATTTCCTGCTGTTTAGTACACCTAAAGGAGTTAGGGAAATATAAAGAATGATGAAAATGTGAAACGTATTAAATTAAAAAGGTTGTGTTTTGGAACTGATATACTTTTGTGGTATATTTTCTGTAGGCAGTGGCAGGATCTGTCAGTAAAATTTTATTACATTGAAATCTTCCCTTTGTACATGAATGCTTTGGTTCTTAGCATTGTTAGATAATGACTTGTGGTCATGAAGGCACTTACACAATTGCGATAAGCAAGTCTTGACTAGGGAGGAGGCAATCTCAGTTGCTTGTCTGTCAATGGCAGCTAAACCAGTGTGTGAATCGTCTTCCTGCACATCTTCTTCCATGACACTTTCCTCATCATTACCAGCGTTTGAATGAGTGTCGT